TTATGTCAGCCTGTATTTCCCGAAACTTTCTAAAATTTATTTCCATTGGGAGATCTTTAAGAGATCATTCTCAAAACTCTAGTCATTTCTTATAATAGAATGAATTACTGAGCACTATTTTTATCACGTCTTTCTTAGGTGACACACATATGCTAAAATTACAAGATGATGAAAAATGTATCATTAAATGGATGTATAATTTAGTGGAGACATTGAAGTGATATTGGCATGTCTAATTTTAGTGTGATTATTTTGTATAATTTCTATGATTTTAGTATATTTTAACTTGCAGGGTTTATTTCCACCTGGACAAGGTGCAACAATTGGAGTCGATTTTATGATTAAAACTGTTGAAGTGGAAAATGAAAAAGTTAAGGTATATAATCTATATGGGACATGTGCGTTAGAGATATATATAATCTACTGTTGAATGTTTTTTTCAGTTGCAAATCTGGGATACTGCAGGTCAGGAAAGATTTCGTTCCATTACTCAAAGTTATTATAGATCAGCACATGCATTGATATTAGTTTATGATATTTCTTGTCAACCTACATTCGATTGTTTGCTAGATTGGTTGAGGGAAATCGAAGAATATGCAAGTAATAAAGTTCTTAGGATATTAGTAGGTAAATGAAAAACATAAAGATTATTATAAGTTAATATGTGAAGACATGTATGTCTCTTTCCTATCAATGAGAAATTATGCAATTTCTATATGTTAATTAGGGAATAAAATTGATCGAGAAGATAGAGAGATACCGACGCACGTGGGAGAGGATTTTGCACAAAGACATGGCATGTACTTTTTAGAAACATCCGCTAAGGAGGCGGAAAACGTAGAGAGATTATTTATGGAAATAGCAGCTGAACTTATGGAGGTAAGCGAGCGTATTTTATTTAAGATTATTTCATTTTAGAACATTTTGCAGTGCTCGTATGTTATTTTAGCAAGCACGCTGTAAGGAATTACCTCGGTATGAAACGAATACAACTTCAATAAACGGTAAAACGACGTCAATCGGTGATAGTAGTAATTGCGGTTGTAGCAGACTTTCTTAAATAATTTTTGTATGTTATATTATATCTTTTTTTATAGACACGGTGATTGAAATCGAGCGTATCATATTTGATAATTTAGGGAACGTATAGTACATGTATATCTTTGATACACAGTGTTATTGTTTAGTGTTATGATATTATATGCTACGTTGCTTTATACTATGTTGTAAGATATATTTAATATTTAAAACAAGAATTTAAATATATCATTAAGCATTCTAGCTTTTAGGATATTAAATTTTTATAGATATATAACGCAGTTTTACGCTCTCTTATCGCGCGTTTTATTTAATTAAAGTAATACTGCTTGATATATATTAAATGGTTTAAGCATTTATTTCCATATGCAATGGAAATTTTATTTAATATAATTGTAGTATTTCTCTTTTGTTACTTCGAAAGTACAAATAGTTATTACCACAATGGATTTTGGTATCTTGTCCAAAATCTTATTAGTAATAATAAGATTTTTTACAACACGCGTCACACAAGCCTACGATGTATAAAGTTATTTCTAACGTGCAATATTTATATGTGTTTATCACAACTATTTTGAAGAAGACAGCTCACAATGTGCTCCTAACAGCATGTTAAAATTAAAGCATAAATGATATTGTAACTCTGCATACAATAATCAACGAAAATAATTTTTATTTTAACGAATTATTTAGTAATAATTTTAAAAAGTGATAACGAGATATTATTATTAAATAACTTTTAGTATTTATATGATTAGATCTTTGTTATATTTAATTTATAATTTATGGATCTTATAAACAGTATATTTGGTTGAGTATTAATTATTCTATATAGGTACATTTCGTATGATATTAAAATGTCTAGTCTTTTTTCACATTTCTTTTTATATTCTATAGCCACGGTCCGATTCACGCTCACAATGCTTAAAAATCATTTCATTCTTGTTTATCAAATGTTAAATGAAGACAAACGATGCTCATGAGCGTTGTCAGCATGAATCGGACCACGGTTTATATGTACCAATATAACATAACCGTTATAAGTAATATGTATTTTATTATGAATTTCTTGTTAGCTAACACTTTCTAATTTTTAAATAGTCTGTAGTTTATTAGTATTAATTATCATTATAAATTGTTTCTTTTATGTAAGCTGTATGAACTCCACTCTTGGGACAAACATTTACTTTTTTTTACAGCAAAAAGAAATTAAATTAATCTTTAAAATTGTTACATATCTAATTTTTATTTATCTAGTAGTTCTCAATCAAATTTGCATAAGTCCTGAGAAAATGCATAACTTATATATATATGTTAGATGTTTATATAAAAATTAAAGTATTTTCCTTTCTTCGATACCTGTAATTAAGATCTTTTTAACATAGTTAAGTTCATACACTAGCTATTCAATTTGAAATTACTCCAAAGATTTTATGTTACAAAAACGTTTTGTTATAATTACATAGTGTAAGTTATTAATAATGCATAATAAATCACGACTTGTAATAAAAACTATATTAGTCAAAACATATATATCAATTTTCTTGGTATGAGATTAATATTGTGTTATCGTATTAATAGAAAATTATATATACAGGGCGTTCGGAAATTTGTGAATCAAAATACAGCAAGAAAGTTTAAAAAAAAAATAAATTAAAAACATTTGCCACTTTTTGTTCTAAGCTAGTACTCTTTGAGATTTAAAATTGTTTGTTCATGAATCGCTTATCGATAGTGCTTATGAACAAGTAGCTGTTTAATCGTGACTTGTTGACTAATTGACAAATTTCGAATCATTATATCTTAAAAACTATTAATTGGAACGAAAAATGATAAGTACTTTTTAAATGTATTTTTTTTTAGAACTTTCTTGTTATTGTATTTTGATTCGCAAATCTCGGACGCCCTGTAGAGGTTAGAATACATAATAATGTACGGGCGATGCACGTGCTATTTGTCCTTAATAGGTTTATAGTAGATTTTATAAAAATTATATAGTCAATACAAATTTATATCACACATTACATATTTCTAATAAAAAAATCAATCAAAATTTATTGCTAAGTTACATACAAGATTTATAGCAGATATATTTTCATTGACTTTTACATAAGTTTTTAAATACAAGTTTCTCTCTGTATTTTTATATTATATAATATAATATAAAGATCTCTTTTTCTTTAATACACGCATCAAAATATAATCATACTGCTACATAAAATATTGAATAAAATATTTTATTTATATTATTGATTGTGGAAATGTCTGTGTCGCAACAGTTGCAGACTTACGCGATTAAAGTTGATTATGAAAATGTTTATGTTGTAATAATAAAGAAAAAGCAGTAAGCGCTTTTGTGTGTGTGTGTGTGTGTGTGTGTGTGTGTGTGTGTGTGTGTGTGTGTGTGTGTGTGTGAAATTTAATATAGTTAATATAATCAAATAAAATTCATGTTCAGAAAAATTATGCTCCTACTCACTCATTATTACTTTCAGATTGTAATATTAGATCTTGCTTTCGATGTCATAATCTGAAGTAATAATGATGAATAAACAGGTACTTTAAATCATCTTATTAAATCAGCTTATACTCATCTGCATACTGATCACCTCCATTAATTTTCATAGCTCAGTTATTTTTAATGCTTAATGATTGTGTATTTTTAGCTCATTATACGTAGATTTTGCATTGAAGTTACGACAGTCAAAAATTAAAACCAGGTTTGATGTCTATGTCTTTTATTTCTTAAAAAAAATATAAATTATTTCACAACCAATACGAAATTAAATTCCTATACCGGTCGAAGCTGGATCTTTAATGTTTTGTCTCGGTAATCTAAAGGTTTAGAACGGAATACAAGAGATCCGGGTTTGAATCCAGGTCAAGATAATATTTTTCGCAATAAATTTATTTACAGTTTTTCAGTACATTAACATCTTTCTAATATAGTGTCTGATTGATCATCAAATTATTAAAAATTGCTTGTCAATTTAATTTGTAATAATATTACAGTATAGTTCAATTGCATTTATAAGTCTGGAAAACCAATTCGGCGCGCAGTTCGAATGACTACAAATATGGTAAATATGCA